CTGCAGGATACAAACACATTCTATAGCATTGGTGCTAAACTCCAAATATATTTTGCTCTTAAGAATTATACCTTTGTCTTTTTACCCTCTTTCCTGGGAGAATTCCATTACTTGATTTTATAAATTAAAAAATCTTGCTTTAACATGGGTATATTGTGCTGTTCACTGACTAAATGGAGTTTAAAATGTTAAAGTACTTCATATTTTAATATTACTCCTTTTAAAAATAACATGTCCTTATTTTATTATTAAATAATATCTTACTAAGGATATGAATTTTATACCATTTTATGTTTATTTCACTCCTTGCTAATCAGACACATTTTCCTTGATGTCTCAATATGGTAACACTTCAGTTGCTGATTCATTTATTGAAACAAATATTTTTCATTGTTTCCTAATTGAGTTAGATAGATTTGTATTTTTAGCTAATGAATTTCTTAGTGTGGGCCTGAATTAAGAGTTTCACCCCTGGATTCTGACTCTGAAGAAAGGTAGGTTGATCTTTTCCCTCAAAATACCACTCAAAATTGCAACGAAGGACAAAAATAAATGACAAAGTAGGCCATTCCAGCTGAGGCAGGTAGCTATTTGCTAGTGAAAAACCACTGCTGGAATGATAGTTATCGTCTTTCTATGAGAACCAGTTGTAGGAGGTTTGTGTAATATTTGGCAAGCTGCTTTTACCAGGAAAAGTTAATTGGCCACCCATGTTTTTCTGATGCAGGTTGGTGATAATCAGTTGAGGATTCCTCATACAAGCAGAGTTGAAGTGTTGTTCAAGCAAACTGAAAGAATTAGCTCGTGTAATCTGTTTCTTGGCAGGTATGTCTGATATAGTTTCCCACTGCCATCAGTGTGTAGATAATGTCCACAGGACCATGGCAATAGTAATTTTGGCAGGACTAGTGACTTACGGTGGCTGAAGCAGTAGCTATACCAGGTAAGCCAGCAGGTCCCTACCACTCGGGTTATTCTGGAGGTTGCAGCAGAGTGAAGTCCCCTGTACTGACTTTCAATATAGGTTTAGTTCATTCCCAATAGGTCTTCTAAAAGTGCAAATTGTGTTTTCAGTTGGAATTTATCTTTGTGCACTTAGCAGTTTCCCTCAGAGAGAGAGGTTTTCTGCTGTGATGGAGATTGGGATGATCCCAGGAGACATAGTCATAAGTGTAGGTGAGTGGTTTAGGGTGTAGAAAACAGATAAGCTAGTGAAGGTGACTCCTGCAAGGTCAGAGCATAACCTGCTGTACACTAGTACACCTTCTCCTAGTAAGCAAATTGATAATGACTGGTCAGAAGATCTTTGGTTCTCATCTGTAAAAATTTCCTATCACAAAACTTTAAGTCTGCATTTAAGAACTTTCCAAATTTTCCAGATGATGTAATATGAGAAATACTTTTTCTTTTACTTTAATTAAGTGTCTTCACTTAGGGGATTAAGAAGGGAAGGGAAAGTAAAACATGGGATCATTTCACCATCTTCTCATAACTCCTTTGGGTAACCCCTTCTTAACTTTCTTTTTTCTTTTTTACTTTTTTAAAATTTTTATTATCTTTTCTTTTTTACATCATTGTTCTACAAACTTATGCTAGCTCTTAATACATAACTGACACTCGTCTCTTAATGGAGACCCCAAGTTCTATGACACTTCATTCTTTCAATTAATAATATTCTTCCTTCTTGAATTATGTGATGCTGCCACATTTTAACATAACTTATTTTTTGGACTTTTCAGAGTAAAATTGAAATTTTATACTATCTTACCATTATCTCTTTAAACAAATTCTCTGTGGAAATGTTCCTCCCTACCCTTGGATAAGATACTGGGCAAGAAATTTCCAGGTAATAAAATACCTAATCCAGTCTACTTATAAAGCTTTGTGACTTTCAAACACTACATACTTTCTCCTTCCCCAAGCTTGGGCCTGAATTATGCTTAAGTGGTAGCACTGAAGACTAGGTAGGTCATTTGTCATCTTTTAACCACTAAATTTCCTCTTCCAATTTTTAGGTGCTATTTCAGAACCTTCCAGAACTGAACACATATAAAAGGGGTAGATAAAAATTGTATGTGACTGAAAGCCTTTGCGAATTGGAAGTCAGACTTTTTCTCTTAAGGGGAGAAAGCTAGCATTCCAACATCTGGCACATAGAATAGGCTTTTCATACTCTTTTTTTGTAATTTGGAAATTTCACTTGATGTCCTAGGACTCAGGTGATGCTTTCTCTGTCTGGCATTTACTAATTACTCCTCAGCTCTCAACTTCCTATATTTTTCTCCATACAATCTCGCTCGCTCTCTCTCTTTTTTTTTGGGGGGGGGGTTGGGGAGGAAGATCACTTTACTCTTGATAGGGGCAGGAATGGTCCCTTTTTTGATGAACTAAATGCAGTTTCTTTTCATGGCATCCATATATGGACCCATCTGAAAGCTCACATTATTCCCCAAGATTGGCATAAGGCCATTTCTGCTCACCATATTATTCTTTAAAAAATTTAACAATATAGTGTTATTAAAACATTATAAACTTTCTGCCTTCTTTGAAACAGCTAATAGAAAGGAACCAAGTCCTATATTGATGATCAGTTTTAAAGTATGGCAGACACTAATTTTGGGGCTTCTGGTTAAACTGCAAGATGAGAAGAATCACATACATCCAGAAAAACAAACTTTTTTACTGAATTTTCCTATTGCCTTTCTACTTTCCTCTTAAAATTTTGTTTGAAAAACTTCCCCCAGAACAGATGAGTGGATCAAGAAGATGTAGCACATATTGTATCTACAAAGAAATACTAACCAGTGATGCCAAAAGATAGATTCATGCCATTTGTGGCAACATGGATGGAATTGGAAGGAATTACTCTAAGTGAAGTGAGACAGAAGGAGAAAGATAAATACTGATGGTTTCACTCATATGTGCAATATAGAGAAACCCAACAGGATCAGACAAAGACAAACTTTAAGACCAACCTTTGAAAGAGGACCATAGACCTGAGGCATTCAAAAGGGAGGGGAGGGTGAGGGAGAGATGGAAGGCAGAAAATAGGCGAGAGCAGAGCACAGTGGACTATGGTGGGGGACTGTGGGTGCTTTGGTGGTGGGAAAACTATGGTGACCACACCTGAGGGGAGACATCCTATATTGTGAAAAAATAATCAAGGATGTAAAATTAAAAAAAAAAACATTCTTTCTCATCCTTCCTTCCCTCCCTCTCCTGCTCCTCCTTCTCCTCCTTTACTCTCTCTCTCTTTCTCTCCTTATTTAGTTTCAATATATATTAATCTTTTTTTTCACTCTTCTTGAATAAACAGTGCTTGTTGTATAATGTAAAAAAAAAAATAATGAAGAACTTTCTTTTACTCAATTCTTTTTTCCCATGACCTTCAATTCCTTAACTGTTGATATCTCTTACATCTTTTTTCTTCTCTTTTTATATTTTAATTATGTGTGCTCATAGAATCATTATAGTATACCCATATTTATATTTTCAACTCTTTATCCTCAGCTAGCTATTTCCCTTCAACTCAAGGCCCAAATTATAGTTTTTAGTTATTTATAGGAGAGCTTCATTCAGAGGTTCATTGTCCCCTAAAAAGCAAAGTCAAGATTCTTATCTCAATACTTCCAGTGAAAAACTCTGACATTATCTATTTTGGTTAAAGAAAAATACCATAATTTGTAATCACTGAGCCTAGAAAACTTGGTCATAGTGATCCCTTTTAACCTTCATTTGCCACATTAGTTCATGATAATCTATTATTTCCTGACACCAATTTATCAAGACTTTCCCCTTTCTATTTATTCTTTCTACTACTAGGCCTTCTGCTGTCCTGTTGCCTTAACTTTGCTCTTTATATTTATGTGTAGTTTATTTATATTGTCATTGTATAACATTCTTTATTCTTAGGCTGATTTTCCCAGAACAGTACTTTTACCCTATACCTCCCTAGTAAACATACTAAAGAAACTCTCCAGGACATGGTGTGAACTTGACTTTAACACTCTAAATTGCCTTGAATTCATCTGCTTCCTTGTTTTCCACCTTTCTCACTCAGGGTGTCTTCCATTCTTCTTCATGATTCCATGAGTTGTACATAATGTGCTAGCGTTCAGCTCTATTCTATTATTTGTATGTTATCTTTCATCTGAAGGGTCTATCCTAGAACTCTGGTAATATAAATTCTACTAATGTACCATAGTCTTCAGGAAGTTTTTGTCAGATGCTCAAAATGGTATTGTTCCTGCCCAGTTTTGACTTAGTGTGCCCATTAAAATTACAAATGATTACTTTTGAAATCTATCTAATGTAATGTAGCCTCTCTGATGTAACCTCCTTTGGTTTGCATTTGTATCCTCACTCTTTCTTCTCCAACCAGTTTACTTATAGGTACTTTGAAGGCGGATTGTGCTTGTTATATTTGCCTCATCTCAGCAATAAAACATAATAAGTCATTCAGACTCTAATTGTTTTTTTTTTTTAAAAGATTTATTTATCTATGCATACAAGAGCTGGGGTACAGGCCAGAGATTCAGAGGGGGTGAAAGCATTCACCAGAGACAGAGTGGGGAACAGAACAGGCAGACTGACTCAAATACACTGCCGAGGGGAACAGCAGGTAAGACAGGGGAGGTCTGCTTCGCCATGTGGGTTTCTCTCTCTGGCTGGCTGGGGATCGAACTCGTGCTGCAGAGACTGCGGATTGCTTCATGGTGCAGTGCTTAACCCCTTGTGCCACCAGGGAGGCCCCAGATTCTAATTGTGATTGATGCATGTTTAACATGAACCTTATTTCCTATCCCTAAAGAATGTTTTTGAATGCTATAAAATTAAAAGGAAAATATGTGCTTTTGCATAAAATAAAATATATAGTAATAATAGTAAATAAAAATAACAGTAATTGCATATTTGGGTGACAGCAAATGAAATCAAAGAAATGCCAATTTAATTTTGAAACACCAATACTGACAGTAGTGTAATAAAATATTTATCTTCACCTGTAGTTTGGATCCAGGATCTTCACACGGAACACATACATTCCAGCATGATCCATAGGCCACACTAAATGGTTATGGTTAGACTTGTTGATAATCTCATATGGTTGATTTAAGTCTCCTGGTTTTCCAATAGCATAAGAAAAACAGTGCTTATAGTTCTGAACAGGAAACAGGAAACAAAAACGTTAAGGTCATTTTCACACTTTAATAAAAAAAAAATCATACTGTGATATATTTATCTTGGAAAATTATTTAGAGATGTAGTTGTTATTCTCATCTAACATTTTTTAGTGCTGCACAGCATTTTAGAGGCTATCTTGGGTTAAATTTTGCTTAAAAATGAAACTTTGTGAAAGTAAAAGCTATATTTATTTGCAACAATAAGTTAGTATGTTGAGAGTATATAAGCATGTTACTTCTCTAAATCAAAAAAGCACAAAAATCACAATATGAAAAAAACACACATCCAAAAATGCTTAGCTTGGGTCAGATACTATTTTGATCAGAAGGTCTGATACAATAGTCAAGGTGGTATATATTTGGGTTTTAATCTTCCCCTAGTACTTTTATTTATTCCATTACCACTGCAGTGACTCTGAGTGGGTCTCAAGATACCAACTAGGAAGGGTACTTGTTCATCCTCTATATCTTAATTCCCAGTTGAAATGAGCCTTTATTTTAAGAAGTCATTTTACTAAAGCTAAGAGAAGAAAATAAAAAGGTTGTTACAATTTGTAGATTTCTGATCCTAAAATACTACATGGCATTGCTTCTGAGTTCTTGCAGGTCTGGTATGCTTTCCTGTTCTGCTTCACCCACTCTTCACTTTTTCTGTAGATAAATTCTTGCTTTTTTTTTTTTTGGCAATATAGATGGTACTGGAGGGGAGAATGCTAAGCCAAATAAGTCAGAAGGAGGAAGACAAATACCACAAAATTTCACTTATATGTAGCATACAGAGAAATTTAAAAAAGGAGAAGACAAAACCAAAACAATAATTCTTAGAAATCTGACTGTAGAATTGAGGCTGCCAGAGGAGGAGGAGAAGAGGGGAGAGCAAAGTGGGGTAGGGGACAACAATGGACTATGGAGGACGACTATGGGTGCATAGGTGGGGGGTAATATACCCCTGAAGAGTGTAATCCTATGTCTTTAAATCATATACAACACTATAAACCAATGTTACCTCAATGCAAATATAAATAAGTTTTCTAAAACTATGTTTAAAAAAATGCATAGGTCAGTGTTGACCTGGCAGAAGGCTCCAAAAAATATGTAAAATGTAACAAGTTTTAAAAACTACAATTGAAACCCTACTACTATTGTGTTGCTGCCAATGTCTGCTTTGAGATTTGTTAACAGTTACCTCATATATTTCCATGCTCCTTGGTTTGGTGCACATATGAGTTATTGTATCTTTCTGATGTATTATTATGGCTGTCCCTGCTTTTTTTGAGGGGGGAGGGTTCCATTCACATGTAGGCTTGTTTTCCAACCATTTACTTTCATCCTATGTTTATCTTTGGAGCGTAGATAAATGTCCTCAAGAAAGCAGAACGTTTTGTTTTCTAATCCAACCAGTTGTTCTGTGCCTTTTGATTGGTGGCTCTGGCCGTTTACATTTTCGGTGAATACTGATATATGAATATTTGCTACTGCCATTTTGTATTTAGTTTTCTGGTTCCATTTTTTGTTCATTTTTTGGGTTGATTTTTCTCCCTTTTGTTTAGATAGGTGAGCTACTTTCACCATTTCATGCAGAGAGGTGTAGTTTGCAAACTCCTTCAGTTTCTGTTTTTCTGTGAAAACCTTTATTTCTCCTTCATATTTGAGAGTTTTGCAATATATAATATTTTTTAGCTAACATTTTTCTCTTTGGGTATTTTGAATACATCATTCTATTCCCTCCTTCCCTGCAGGATCTGATGGGAGTAGCTTTATAAACTATTTGCTTTCCCCCCTAATCACCTTCAATATCTTGCACTGTTGGTAGTTTTAACCACAATGGGTCTTGGTGTAGGTCTTGTTGCATTTGGATAGTCAGTTGGTTTTTTAGCTTCATAGATTGTATATTCAGTTCTTTTTCCAGGGTTGGTACATTTCCCTCTTTTATTTATTTGAATATGCTTTCAACCCCCTACCCCCTTCCCTTTCTGGAGTACTCATTATCATTATGTTGCCTTTCCTAATGGAGTCAACTAGTTCTTGATGTGTCTGTTCAGTTTTCTTCTTTCTTCTTCCAGATGTGTTCTTTGTGTATTATTATCTTCAAGGTCACTGATCCAATCCTCCATTAGTCTATTCTGCTCATTTTTCTGTTTTAGAGTCCCTATTTTTAAAACAAGTATCTGAAGCAATAACTTGGAGATTGGGTTGCTTCTACTTTTCTACTGGGTAGAGACTTTGTTTAATGTGATTTTACTTTTGTGGCCTTTGCTGGTTTCTGTAGATTAGAGATCTGATCTCGTAGCTGCTGAGTTAGGTTGTGGGGAAGATTCCTGGGGGCATCCAGTCACTGGAATGAATTTGCTATGGAAGGGCTGGCTCATGTTTGTGGCATTGCCAATATCCCTCCTCTCCTGGGTTCCAGATCTAAGACTCTGCAGTCTGTGCACTGTCAATACACTTAATGAAGTCAGTGCTAGTCCTGACCTCATTGTCCTATGCATTGTCCTTGTTCTTTGCAGTGGGGACCCAGGCTACGGGAAGTGCCCTAGCTCCTCCACTTATGTTTCCCCTCAGTATGTGCCTCCTCCATGCCATCCATCTTTTCCTTCCTGAGGCTTACTGACTGAGCTGCCGACTACAACTTGTAATGTAGCTTCCCACTCAGGATACCCACCTCTTATTCAGTGAAGCATGAATTTCTCCTTCCTGTCCCTTCTGGTACAGTCTGTGCTGGGTCTCAAGCCACAGGGCTCTGTGTGTACTGTCCACCTAGTTAACTTTTAAATGATCTGCTTGGGAGTGAACCAAGGAATCTCCTCTAGTGCCATCTTGGTCCAAATCCTAATTCACTGATTTTTTAGTAAAGGAATAATGCTCTTTATAATAAATGGATGACATATTATTAATTAGTCCCACAAATACATATTGATCATCTGTAATGGATTAGTTGCTAGGGATACAGCAATGAACAAACAAATCAAATTCCCTTTGCTCATGAAGCTTGCACTCTAGCTAGGGAGCCAGACAATAAAGAAGATAGTAACTAGACTGTATAATGTTCCACACAAGTATAAATGTTAATGACATTAAAGAAAATAAGGATGGGCGATAAGAACTGTCATTGGATAATGCTTAATTCTTGTATAGAAGCCAGGGAAGTCTTCATTTAATACTTGATAATGTTTGAAGAAAAATTCTGAAGATAGGAGAGAGCTAGTCATGAGGGACCAGCAAATTACATTGGTTTTGTTTTAATTTTAAGTGAATATGGATTTAACATAGTTGATCCTTCCCTACTTCTTGTTAAACTTGTTTGACATGACTTCCAGGAAGCATATTTCCTTGGTTTTCCTTCTGCTTTGTAGATTATTCCTTTGTCCCTCCTCATTTCCGTAATCGCTAAACATTGGGATAGACCATGTTTTAGTTCTCTTTTCATATTTATATAATGGGTTCCTAACCTCATACATGCACACACTTATGTACTTATATACACAGATACACACACGTGCACATGCACATGCACACACAAAAAGTTTTACCTTATTTTTATATGCCCCTCCACCCCCTTTAGTAATCTGATGAAACCTTAAATATTTTCTCAGAATAGTGTTTATAAAATAGGTTGCATTTAAGAGAAGCTACTTAAAAATAATTAGAGTTGTCAAAATATTAGCAATATTTGTTGCTAATTTTAATATATTTGCTTCTGTTAATGACAATGATTAACATGATATAACACCAGGCTTAATAACTACCATATTTTTTTTTTGTGACATAGGAAGCAAGATCATTAGATAAAAGAACAGAAAGTTTTCAACAGATATTTATGAAAGAGAATGGACTAGAAAAATACAGCAATGCTCACTGGGCAGTATTCTAGAGCCATTTTAACCTTGCAATTAAAGTGGAACAATTCAGTTTGGTATGTTTTTCCCTGATCACAGTCAACTGCTAAGGTGGCTAGTTGTATTTCACCAAGGTTGTGCTTTAGACATAAATATGAAGAAGTAAGTGAGGCCAAAATATGAAATAATAAGTGGGGCCAAAAAAATGGAGGGTACATATTAACAAAGTGATATATTATTGACCATGGAATTTAATCTGAATAAAGAAGGAAAAGAGAACTTGGAGGTGGGCTAAGGGTGTTGCATCAGTGGATTGACTGTTTTGTTGGAGTTGAAGTATCATTCAGAGGATTGTTCATGTCCAGCTCCTAGGAGCAAGTTGAGGGAAAGATAGGGAGTGATGGATAGAAAGTGGGATATTTGGGATTGGGGATACAAAGGATAACACACATTATACATATCTGTCTCTGCTTGACATGAATGATTCTGACATGGAAGCAAAATAAGATTCTTATTACAGAAAGTATTTTCTATATCACTTTTTATTCATAATATATAATCTGATTCTCTAAATAATGTAAATTAATTTCAATTCAAGAAAATTCTACTGAAAAAATCACAAGAACATTAGAGGATTAATAATTGGCATTAGGAAGTGATCTTTCAGTTAAACAATAATTCTTTAAGAAAACTCACTTGCAACACATTAACTTGTTCGTCAGATATTTAATAATGTTGAAAAACAAGAGAAGATGAAAGCAAAATTGTTATAACATAGGAACAACAGGAGTTCAAACAAATAATATACAGTATTTTGAAATTATAATTTGATCTGATTTATCAAAAAAACCCCAAATTTAAGTGCAAAGTGTTTTCATCAAGCTTTTGTTAATACTGAAATCCAAGTTAGTTATTTTAAGAAATAACTTGCAAGGTAATGCTTTTCTTACCTGAGGTCCCCAGGCATCTTCTAATGGGAGATCCTTGTTAAGTTCAGTCATTGATTTCCATGTCTGGGCTTCATGTAAACAACCACTCTGTCAAAATATTTTGTACACTAATATTTTCCTTTGTATTTGATATATTTTGATGCTATTGAAAATTACATATTAAAAACTCATTATTTAAATATTTGCTGGTCTACAAACAATTGACTTTTATGTATTAAACTTGTAGAGAACTTCTTAATCTCACTAATTTTAATTGTTTCACAATCATGTCACTTACATGTCATGTCATTTACACAGTCATGTCATTGACAAATATAGCAACTTACTAATTACCAAGCCTTTTACCTGTTACTCACTTTAATTATTTATTGTTTACCTTGTTCAGAGAGCTCTGGGAATATTACATAAAAGTGGTAATGCCAGGCATCCTTGTTTTATTCCTGATTTTAGAGGGAAGACTTTCAAATTTAAACCATGAAATATGATGTTTTCCATGGTTTTTGTATAGCCATTTTATGTTATTTTTTATTTTTAAAGATTTTTTTATTTATACAAGAACTGGGGTACAGTCAGAGGCGTGGGAGGGTGAGAGAATTCACCAGAGACAGAGCAGGGAGCAGAACAGGCAGACGTACCGAAGACATTGCTGAGGGGAGCAGTGGGGAGGCAGGAGAGATCTGTGTGCCATGTGGGAATCTCCCTGGCCAGCTGGGAATCGAACCCGCGGAGGCTGAGGACAGCTTCACAGCATGGCGCTCAACCCACTGTGCCACCGGGAAGCCTCTAGCTATTTTATTATACATACAAAATTTATAATTTTCTAAGACTCATTTTAAAAATAACATTATATATAGGTGATAATTTTTAAATCAAGTGACTTCATCAACTATTACAAAATCTTATGCTGTTTTTTCTCCTGTTAACATAATGTATTACCAATGGAACATTATAAAGCAATAAAAAAGACGAAATCTTGCTTGGATGTATTTTGAGGGAATCGTGTTAAGTGAAATAAGTCAAAAGGATAAAGACAAATACTTTTGATTTTACTCACTTGTGGACTACAAAAGGAAAAAAGCACTCAACAAACAAAACAAAAATCCCCTTAGACTTAGTTTTATTTTTTTAAACTTTTATTTTCTTACATGTTAATCTTTTTTTTTTTTTAAAGATTTATTTATTTATTCATACAAGCATTGGGTACAGTCAGAAGCGTGGGAGGGTGAGAGAATTCACCAGAGCCAGAGGAGAGAGCAGAATAGGCAGAGTGAGGAAGTACACTGCTGAGGGGAGCAGCAGGCAGCAGGAGAGGTCTGTGAGCCATGCGCCATGTGGGACCCTTGCCTGGTGGCCGGGGATCGAATCAGCGTTGCTGAGGCTGTGCTGCAGCTTGGCAGCCCAGCACTCAAAGGCTGCGCCAGCAGGGGAGGCCCGAATCCCCTTAGACTTTGACAACAGAATGGTGGTTACCAGAGAGGAAAGAGAGTGCAAGAGGATAGATAGAGGGGGCCAACTGTTTGGTGCTGAATGGTGACTGGACATTTGGGAGTGTATGTGAGTTATTAAATATAGTTGCTGAGGTGAGAAACTGTATACCTGAAACCTATACAGTGTTGTAAATTAACGTTACCACAATAAAAAGAATAAAATATTCAGTGATTTCTAAATGATACAGAGTTTCAAATTATGTTTTGAAATGATACCCCAAATTCTTTATTTAATAAACAAAACTTGGTTTGGGTATATTATTTCTAATATATTGCTGAGTTTGATTTACTAATATTGTTTAGGTGTTTTATATCTAATGACATGAGTGAGATAAACTCATAATGCTCTTTTAAGGTCTTATCAAGTCTTCACAGATTCACAAAATGAAGTAGCAAGTGCTCTCCTCTCCCCAATATTCTGGAAGAGGTTTTGTAAGGCTGAAGTAAAATTTTTCTTAAATGTCGGCAGACTTCATTAGGAAAGCCATTTGGAATTACAGCTTTCTATATTTTATATTGGAACACAAGAAATTTTAGTAAGTTGTTTTACAAGACATTTGCCCTGTTGTTCATTGTCAAATTTGTTGACATAAATTCACTTATAATAATCTCTATAAAATGATACTGCAGTTCTAGCTTATTTTAATTTGTCAGCTAGAATATTTTATTTGGTTACCCGCTGGTATAGTTGCTTTGAGGAAAGTAGGATAAATATTTCTCTTTTATTTGCCAGTTTTCAAGTAAGGAACCCATTCCCTATCATTCTCCAAAGATGATCTTTGAAAAAAAAAAATATAAGCTCATTGATATAAAATAGCCAATGGGTTTTTACCCATCACAAAACAAAATTCAGATGGTCTCATCTTTCACCAGTAAGAAATTCTTCATACTGACTTCTGATTAGTTTTGACATGACTCTAGCAGCCTGTGATACTTTTTTGCTATTTCATATGTCAAACTTTTCCAGGTTCATTTTGTAGTTTCCTACTCTAGACTTGGAATCAGCCTTTTACATAAGAATCCCTAGTTACTTATAGTGGGAAATGTTATTTCAAGATAAGAGTCTGGGTACTTAGGATATTTATTGCTATTGATTAGTTATGTCTCTAGGGAATTTTATGGGTGGGAAAACTTTATATATATATGCTATATCTCTTCATATTAACAATATATCTATATGCTTATATTGGATAAGTATCCAATATCTGATGAGTTTATTGAGTGCTATTCAAATTCAGAATTCATTTTTTTAAAGATTTATTTTTATTTATTTATGCATACAAGAACTGGGGAGTAGGCCAGAGGTAGGGGGCTGGTGAGAGGATTCACCGGAGACAGTAGGGAGCAGAACAGGCAGATCTACTGAAATGCACTGCTGAGGGGAGCAGTGGATGAGACAAGAGAGGTCTGCTGTACCATATGGGTTAACCCCCTGGCCAGGGATCAATTCATGTCACAGTGGCTGGCAATAGCTTCATGGCACTGAGATTTAACCCCTGTGCTAACAGGGAGGCCCTTATATTCAGAATTCTTGTCTGACTTTTGTATTTGTACCAAAACATTTGATAAGGAATGATAATCTTAGAGTATCCTCTAATTACACATTTGCTTTTTTCTTATGTTATATATTGATTCTTCATGGCTTTAACAATACAAATATTAATACAACTATCATGATTACTGGAAATAATTTTATTTTTCACCTTGCTGTACTCATCACATTCTCTACCATATTTAATAATTTTATTACATCTACATTTTCAGAAAATGCATCTATTATATACTATATTCTATTCCCTTTAGCCCTTATTGTGTTTTAAGTCATTCTGCACTGAATAGTTCTTCTTTTCTTTTTTAAAGATTTATTTATACAAGCACTGGGTGCAGTCAGAAGCGAGGGAGGGTGAGAGAATTCACCAGAGCCAGAGCAGGGAACAGAACAGGCAGACTGACGAAGTACACTGCTGAGGGGAGCAGCAGGTGTGGCAGGAGAGGTCTGTGTACCATGTGGGACCCTCGGTAGCGGCTGGGGATCCAACTGGCGCTGCAGAGGCTGTGGGCAGCTTTGCATCCCAGTACTCAAATGCCTGTGCCACCAGGGGAGGTCCTACACTGAATAGTTCTTATGTTGATATCTTTTTAGTGTTTTGGGCTGTCTGAAGATCATTACTTAGTAAGTAACTCAGGAAAGGCTCATAAGAACAATATTCTGAGTTTTTTTTTTTTTTAACATGTTGATAGAGTTTGCACCCTTATATCCACCACTAAGCATAAACAATTTTGGTGGATATAAAATCCTTGGCTCGTGCTTACTTTCCTTTATTTTTTAAACATTTTACTTCATTTAATATCTTAATGCCAGCATGAAGCATGGCAATAAAAATGTCTGGTGATAATTTTATTTCCCTTATAAACTGCTTAGTGTTTTGCTTAGATACCCACTTGGGTTGGTTGTTCTGATTTGATATTCTCCAGTAAATTGTATGCTCTTTCAATATGATATTTCAAATTTGTTTTGGAGGGTGGGAGGTATTTTGTTAAATTATTTGTACTGTATTTATTCCTTTTTTTTAAGATTTATTTATTTATTTATACAAGCACTGGGTACAGTCAGAAGCACAGGAGGGTGAGAGAATTCACCAGAGACAGAGTGGAGAGCAGAGCAGGCAGACTGAGGAAGTACACTGCTGAGGGGAGCAGCGGGCAGCAGGAGAGGTCTGCGCGCCATGTGGGGCCCTCACTCGGTGGCCGGGATCAAACCGGCACTGCAGAGGCTGCGGGCAGCTTCGCAACCCAGCGAAGGGAAGAAAAATGGGAATGGTAAAGAGGGAGAGAGAAGATGGTTTAACACAGTGGATGCCTAGATTGTGTCAGATAAACTAAGAGGCAGAAGAGTAATGGGAGAAAATGAGAGAGTTAAAGAATTGAGTGGTGAGGTTGGAAGCTGAGAACTTTGAGTTTTAATATAATTTTAATAAAGGGAGCTCTATTCATCAAGGTAGTCTGCTGGACAATAGTAATAAACCTCAACTTTCAGATGCTTTACACATTAAAAGATTAATTATTGACCAAACATATTCCAATGCATACGTGTCTGGTTAACTGGTTCTTATGGATGATTCTCCTCAAGGTAGTGAATTAGGAACACAGGATATTTCTGTTTGGTGGTTGAAATCTCCTCACAGAACCCTCCTCATTGTTGCTGTAATATACTGTCATGTGAAGGGAAGTGGGAAGCAATGTAGATGCATGTGATCCCTTCTTAAGCACTTCATCCTGGAGATGAAACATATAGCTTCTGCTCATCCTTCAGTAGTGACAATAAGCCACATGATCCTACCTAGTTGCAAATGGAGCTGGGGATTATAGTTTCTGATTAGACACCTTCTTCTCAGCAATAGCTCTACTTGATGGCTGGCAGAATTAAAAAGTCAATTGGAACATTTTTCAGGAGATGAGGAGAAATCACTACATTCTGAATATATGATAGCAACAAGTAGAAAGGGGTAGATGACAACTAGGTGACAAGAGCCTCACCTTAAGGGGAAGAGACTGATCTAGAAATGATACTGTGGATTAGGGAAATGATAAATTCCACAGCTTATTCTTAAGGAAATGGGTGAAAGAACATCTTTGCTTTGATATAAAAATAGAGAAATGACATTCTCTTAAGAATATATAGCAAAGAAGGACCTAGGGACATTTAATCCTAAGGTACATTAGAAAGATTTGAGAAGATGGCAAATATTGGAAATCTGGACAAAGGTAAAAGGAACATAGAATCCTTTAGGGAATGGGGCTATGGGAAGAATTAGACCAGAAGGACTTAACAAGAATAGAAAAAGAATAGAAAAAATGTGTGATGGGATGGATGCGTTCAGCCATATAATTGAAAGTTAATTAGTTCTTGTAGTACTGTAGAGGGGGATAGCAGTGTAACCCATGTCTCTTGGCTGCCCTCTGGGTGGGTGAGACTTTTTGGAGACTTAAGGCCTCTAATAGATGAAAAAGTCACTTTGGAAGAAGTCATGTTCAATACACAGAATCAATACTGGTAACTTCTAGAAAGGCTCCATCAAGATGGGAAGATCTCAAGGGTAGAATATCCTATATGAAGGGAGGTGAAATGTGGTGATTGGCAGTGGTAAGTCTTTTCTTCTGTGGTCTAAAAGTTAAAGGGCAGAATAAAGATAATTCATAAGGAGGTTGAGATTGATCAGTCCTTGAGGATGGAGGAAAACGATGAGCTTATGGGGACAGTGAAGTCAAGGTCAACAGGTCAAATTATACAAAGAAGTGAAGTGAGACAAAGTCTAGAGCATGTTTGTTTGATTTAGTACAAATGTAATGAATGTTCAAAAGTCAAAGGAAGACCCATAAATAATCAAACAATGAATACAGCATGGAGAGGTAGTAAAATACTCACCGATAACTGTATCACCCTACTAGAAACATTATTTCTCTGATTTCTTTGTTTTATATAACAATGACTTTTTCATAAATGAATTTCAGTATAATATCATTTAATACAGAGGTTTTTTTTTTTTTTTCCCTCACACAGTTGATTAGGTCTATTTTCCTTAGATAAATTACATACTGATTTAAAATAGAAAGGTAAGTCAAATTGCATACTAAATTATATTTAAAATAAAAGATATCATACCTTCTTCATAGTATTGCTAAAGCTATAGTCATTCCTGCCATGTATTTCCCACACAATGAAATTTACAGTAATATCTTCGACATAGCCACTGTCATTGTATCTGAAAGAACCAGCAGACATAAAAATAATATAGGGATTATATTAGATGTTGAATATAGGGATTCAGAGCTACAACTTTTAAGTCAGATGAGCTTAGGTTTAAATTGTGTCTTTTTTTTTTTAAGATTTATTTATTTATTTATTTATTTATACAAGCACTGGGTACAGTCAGAAGCGCGGGAGGGTGAGAGAATTCACCAGAGCCAGAGCGGGGAGCAGAGCAGGCAGAAGGACCGAAGTACACTGCTGAGGGGAGCAGCAGGCAGCAGGAGAGGTCTGCGCGCCATGTGGGACCCTCCTCCGGTGGCCAGGGAACAGCCGGTCGAACCGGCGCTGCAGAGGCTGCCAGCAGTCTGGCAGCCTCGCAACCCAGCGCTCAACCGTTGCGCCACCGGAGAGGCCCTTAAATTGTGTCTCTGGGGCCTCCCTGGTGGTGCAGGCAGTTGAATGCAGTGCTGTGAACCTGTTCGCACCCTCTGCAGTGCCGGTTTGATCCCTGCCGGCTGTGGAGATACCCACATGGCAAGCAGACCTCTCCTGTCTCGCCCGCTGCTCCCCTCAGCAGTGTATTTCAGTCAGTCTGCCTGTTCTGTTTCCCACTCTGTCTTTGGTGAATCCTCTCACCCTCCCACACATCTGGCCTGTACCCCGGTTCTTGTATAAATAAATAAATCTTAAAAAAAAAATTGTGTCTTTATCACTTAGCAGTTTTGTGACTTAGGGGAAGTTACTGAAACCCTTGAACCCTTAATTTTCTTGTCTGGAAAAGTAAATAGTACCTATTGTATAATTTTTCTTCAGCTCTGAAAATAAGCCTTACAGTAATGAAATAGAAAATTTCACTTCTTTAATAGTTGTAGCTGTAAGTTCTCTTCACATTGATATGAATCATATGGGTAAGCGGAGGGTAAAGGGAGGTTATCAATGACTGGCAGAAGAGAGAAAGGCAGAAAGAACGGCTAAGTCAGGATCCTTGGCTGTCATTTAATTAACATTCATGAGATGCCAATTATGTATCTGAGAATTAAAACACAGAATTACTATGATGATAACCAAGATGCAGTAGATATCCTAGAAAGAACCATCTGGAAGATATGGCTGAGTGTCAAATGATGAGTAACATCACAAGAATTGAGGTAGGGTCAAGAAGCTGAAGTAGTTATAAGCTCCCTGGAATGATAGGCATGCACAGCCCAATCTCAGAGAACACATGATGACTTCTACCAAGAGCAGACATCAGTAGTCTAATCTGGACAGGGTGCCCTCTCCCTGATCCTGCGGCTAGAGACATAAGCCACATTGAGTTTAGAGAGTTTATCTCAAACTCAATGAATTTTTTTTTACGATTGATTTATTTATGCATACAAGAGCCAGGGTGCAGGCCAGAGTTGCGGGGGGTGTGAGGATTCACCAGAGACAGACTGGAGAGCAGAACAGGTGGATCTACTGAGATACACTGCTGAGGGGAGCTGCAGGGGAGTCAGGAGAGGTCTGCTGTGCCATGTGGGTAGCTTCCTGGCTGGGGATCGAACTCATGCTGTAGTGGCTGCAGGTAGCTTCATAGTGCTGAAACTTAACTCCTTGCGCCACCAGGGAGGACTGAATTTTGTTTTTAATACAAGTAATGTTAGTTTATATTATTGTGATTTAAGGGTATAGGACCCCACTCTTCAGGTGTCACCATAGTCCACCGCCATAGTCCATTGTACTCCCTTTTCCATTTTGTTCTCAGCCTTTCCCTCTCCCACACGATCCTTCAGTTCTATAGTCTGCTTTCAAGAGTTGTTTTTTATAATTTTTTAACATTTATCTTATTTTTATTGATATATTTTACATCATTCGTCCTTTTTGTACAATGCATGCTTTCTCCTCTCAGGAGTAGTCCCCATAAAATTCCCACCACTAATTTACCCATGCGCCATCACAGTCCCTGTGTTCTTCCCTCCCCTGTTTTAATACCTCTCCCTCCCCCTCCCCTGCAGAGTGTCTCTGTTAATTTTTTTTTATTTTAATTATGTTTTTTCCTGATCCCTTTTTTGGTTCCCTTACATTCCTCCTATAAGCGAAACCATCTGATATTTTTTTTTTCTTTTTCCTTCTGCCTTGTTTACTGAGTGTAATCCCTTCCAGCGTCAACCACGTTGCTGTGAATGGCATGAGTCAATCTTTTTTGATTGCTGAATAGTAGTCCATTGTGTGTGTGTATCTATATCTATATCTATCTATCTATCTATCTATCTATCTATCTATCTATCTATCTATACATCACATCTTCTTTGGTATCAAGAGTTGGTTTTTAAGTTTGCCATATTTGTCCCTTTTTTTTTTTGGTTTCTTTATATTCCACATATTAGTGTCACCACTTGGTATTTGTCTTTCTCCTTCTGACTTATTTTGCTTAGCATAATCAAGCTCAGTGAGTTTAAAACAGTGTTTTCTCCAAATTTTTAGATAAATTTTTCCTTCTGCTACCATATGAAAACAGGGGTTTGAGACTAAAGTTAAAGTACAGTCACTGATAAAGTCATACCTCTGCGTACCACAGATTGTGAGTATAAAAAGGTTTACATGTCTTCCTTCTTCATCAGTTTGCCTGCATTTTAATGGAATTATGCTCCACACCCCTGGACAGACATTTTAGTCAAGACCTTGGACTCAGGCAAACTCAGTATTTGAAATATCTTCCTGTTTATACTCATATCTCTATATTAAAAACACTAATCCCTGACAATGTCTTTTTATTCACTGCCTAGATATCTGCTTGGTTTTTCAGTCATTTTATCTGCCTTTCCAGGTTTGCTTCAACTTATTACCATCAACCCTGATTATAAAAGCAGTTATTATCCTGTTTCCATAGGCTGGACAGAAATTTTAAGTGTCAGGGACTGGTATCTGAGAAGCTATTTTATTTCCATCTTAATCCTTTTTTTAGAAATCATAAAGAGACGAACTCAGAAGGTCAACTCTTCTGTAGGGATGACTAGCCAGGCATTGTAGTAGTGATGCTTGACTTCTTTATTAGAGCAGGTGGAGGGTCATAGAGAACCCTCAAACTCTGGCCCCTTATCATGGGAAAATGCCCACATGTGTATGAGTACACAACATTTTGTATGTAAGTTTCAGGAATTATGGTCAGGCTTTAATAATGCTCTAATTTATGGCTCTTCAGAAGGTGCAATATGTTTGATTGTATCTTCTGAAAGTGATTAGATTCTTTAATTAAGAAATAATTGCAAAGGCATGTGTTTTATTTACATAAAAAGATCTTAATTGAACTCTATAAACTAGCAGCTTTTGCAGTCACAAAAGCAATAAGCTACAGTGTCATCTAGTGGCATAAGGATAAATTTCTTATCTATATGATCTGTACTTTCTGGGCTTACAATGGTCTTTCATAGTTTTACTTATTCAATTGAGAATATGTTACAAAAATGCTTGCTTGTTTAAGCATGAACTATTTTCATTAATATAACATATAATACTATCAACCCTGAGAAATTCAGAAAAGTCACTAGCAGGCAATAAATTTTCCTATAATTTGTAACTTCTCCACTATGGCAGTTCTACTTTTCGAATTGGGAAGGAGAGACCTTTCTGTTGATCCATAAGACATGTATGTTTTCAATCCTGTGTAACCACTCTTGATGGCCTATTTTATTAACCATGTCTTTTATTTTCTACATTGTGATGTTTTACTATCTGGGGCCTTGCTGACCCTGAAGAGACCGCTGCTCCTAGGTTAATTATCTCTAACTCCTAGAGATAGTAAACAACTCTCCCAGGAGTGCCTTTCATATACAAACCAACCAGTCCAGAGCCCATACCCTAACTACCTACTTTATTAACACTCAGGCCACTATCTAACTGCCTTAATAGCCCCAGGGCCAGCCACAAAACTGTTAGGAAGAGCACCTATGCCCCAGTGTCCACTGAAATTATTCAAATTAGCCAATTCTAAGCCTGCTTTACCTGTCTTATTAATTCCTTCTTGCAAAAATCACAATAAAGGTTCTTGCCCACATTTTACCTATTCCCTCTCCCTCCTAACTAACCTTGATACTCAGTGTAGGGTAAAGAAAATATCAGGCTTTTCTGCCCTTCCGCCATCAGGATAGATGATGGATCCTTGTCCTGAATGCATGCCTGATGGTGGGCACCTGGAATAGGGTGTGGGCATAGGTAGATGGGATTCAGCTGAGCTAAGACTGTGCTTTTAAGGGCGGCATCACGGGGGGACGCCAGCAGCACCAGCACCAGCAGCAGCCGCAGCCGAAGCCGAGAAGCAGCAGAACGAACGCTAGAGAGCCCAGATAGAGTGAGGACTTGCTGGGGGCTGGGAGGCCTGCCAGCCTCCCAGCCCCCCAGCCAGCACCCCTGCCTGCCATATGCCTGGTGAACCCCAAATAAAAAACCTGCAAAACTACTGAGGACTCTGACTCCTCCTTTACCCGATCTGCATGGCATCAGAAAACCTGCACTGTATCCAGTCCTGCCCTTACAATTGGCGTATGTCGGCAAGATCCATGCAGACGGGTATTGGAGCCCTCCGAAGACCTGGAGGGACTAAGGAGAGCAGACTTTGCCTGTGACGACGCTGGAGGCACCATGGCGGTATAGAAGATGGATACGTCCACGAGCTACAGGATGAGACCTGGCGTGAAGGAGACGCCCGAAAGGACCAGCCAACGACACCGGAAAGGACCAGCCAACGACACCGGATAGGACCAGCCAACGACACCGGAAAGGACCAGCCAATGACCCCTGAGGCAGCAGGCCATTGCTGAAGCAGGGAGAGGCCAATGGACTGATAGACTGATGAACTGATGATTTTGGACTGACAATCCCGCCAGAAGGCGGAGGACCTTAGCAGGTTATGTTTATTTTTTGAGAATCTGGGGGTGGCCAGTGGGCCTAGATGGCCAAAAGCAGCCTGTGTATGCCCAGTGGCCAGGTGGAGGAGAAAAGCCAACTAAGGTGGCAAAAGCTGGTACTGATGCTAAG